ATCTAAGCAAGCATACTTACTAAAGCCAGTGACTCATATATATACAGAAAGTGTTCTGCTCCTGATTCAGGTCTTTATTATTTTACACTCTTAATTAAGTCTCTTTGAACCCACAGGTGCAGCCACTTACTGATGCTTATTTGAGTTCTTGTATTTGTCACAGGCTTTCATTTACCAAGATATTTCAGTCAGAAGATTGAACTAGACATCTTTCAGGGGATTTTATTGTATTCTTGGAAACTGTGACCAACTTTGGGACTTTTCTGTTCTGGTTCTGGATACCAGTATGTGCACCTGTTTGTAGGCAGGTCTCTGATGGCTGACTTGACCACAACCATTCCCACTGTGCAGGTTGATTGAAAGCTGATTGTGCGTGTATGGCAACTAAATTATTTCTTATGAAAAAGTATTTGATTTAAATTTTCATTTTTCAATTAGTTGAATTTTAATAGTCAAATGGCAAATTCTAAGAAGAAGAAAGTTTTCAGATATATGAGAGAGATGAAATATTTAGGATTCATACTTTTTCATGTCTGCCTATTGACTAGTCAAATGTTTTCAATTTTCAAAATATGAGCACATTGAATATTATGTTCACTTTCATGTGCATCCTACAAATCTTTTAACCACTCTCTTCCAAACCCATAGTTGATGTGCCGATTTTTTTCTTTGGTTTAGTTTCTGTGAAGTTATTTCACAATACTTCAGTTGTTAAGTTACGCTTACTAAGTTATTTCAGTGTTAGTTGCACTGTTTCATTTCATGGTTTCTTAAAGCACTGTCTAGAATCCAGACAGTTACGCAAATCCCTGAACTTCAGTCATTGTGTCTGAGTCTTTTTCAGATTTTTTTGTTCTAAGTTTGTTTGGTTTCTCTGGTTTTTCGGTGGGAGGTTTTTTTGAGTTTTTTTGTTGGTTGGTTGGTTGGTTTTTTGTTTTGTTTTGTTTTTTTGTTAAAGGTTGGGTTGTGGGTTTGGGGTTTTTTTTTTAATCCAAAGCAGAATAACTTTTGGGGAATTTAAAGGATAGCTTATGGAGTAAAGCTTGGTATAAAGGAATAAGAAGGATAGGAGCAAACTGTGGCACATGTTCATTCTGGTTTTGCTAGAAGAAATTTCAATCCATGTTACCTATTTGCAGGCCACTGTCCTCCTCACTGCATGTTCAAAGAAAACACTGTTGTGGTTGTGTGGTTTTATTTTACTAAGTACCCCTGGAACCTAAATAAAACAGTGCAATGTTTGTGCCAAAATATTTAAATGTTTTTTGCTCACAGAAGTTATTGGAAATGGTTTTCATAAATTCAGGAGAAGGGGGGGGAGTAAGCTAAGAAGCTGCAAAACTGTGTGCTAGAAAGTATAAATAACTTATGTAATTTTTATATTAAATTTTGCCATCAACTTCAAACACATTTAATTCATGCCCTCTGTATATTTTACAATTCAGCTGGAAAAGTTTTTTAACTGATCATTTTGCTCCAACCTTCACTCAGAGGAAGAGCTATGCACACTTTACGAAAGCTGAGCTTTCTGCTTATATTATATAATAAAAACATCCCCTCATGACCCCTATGAGTGTAGAAATTCAGCTTAACTCTAGTGTTCTATATTGTTTCCCTCTAGGTGTCTGAAGATGTCTAACCAGAAGGGAGGAGTAGGTGCTGGGATTTATGGGAACTTTGGATGGCTAAAAGTAATGGCTTACTCTAAAATGTGTTAAGATTCATCCTGGTCTTAAAATATTTTTGAGGCAGGGCAAGTTGTAGGACATTGAGAGTCCTATGCTATAGGTGAGGTACCAAGATCTCTCCCTTCCTTCAGCAAGCCGCAGGACTCTCCCTAATAATGCTGGAAGTTAAAATGAATCATTTATGAGCATCACTAGACACATGGGTGGGGCCTCTTTTTGAACTGGTATTTTGTTGATGCAACATGTGTGACGGCCTCTTAGTTCTGAATATAAATGTTACTGAGAGGAAATTAGGTTGGTTTGCAGAGGAGATCTGTCAGACCTTGCAGTGCACCTTGCTGAGGACCAGATACCTCCACCAGTACTGTGCTCAGATACTAGTACATGTAGAAGAAAAATGGAAGGTGAGTGTCTTGAAACTTTACTATTCTTTGAATCAGGACTGAAAGCAGAAATAATTAAATAATCAAGTGTATAGACATAAAAATTTACACATAGTTTTGTATATGGCATTAAGTCTAGAAACTGCTTGTATGTTTGAATGTTCTTTGTGGAGTTAGTGAGAAAGCAAAAAAAAAAATTTTGGAAAAAAAATCTTTTATAAAGGAAAAAGAGAGCTATGAAGACTTGGTGAAACAACAGCCAGCTTGAGAATAAGAAATAGCATGAAAAGAATACACTGTATTTCCAGCATAAAGTACTAGTTTTCACTATTCTTATGCTAGAAGCAATTATTTCACAATGAATGAAGGTGAAATGTGAATTGTTAGAGAAAATCCAGTGAGTGATATTGACAGTTGGGTTTCTCCCAGAGACAGAAAACCCGTAAGAGATGTGAAATTGAATTGCCTTTAATATTTTTTTCTGAGCTACTTTTGCTTAAGAAAGCAATCACTAGCTCCTTTGTGATCCAGTTGTGATACCTAAATCTGATAGGTAAAATATGGGCTGACTTTTGAGCGCTTCCTTGGGAAAGATGTAATAGCTCCACTCCCTGATGTTCCGGTTCAGCTGGATTATTAATCATCAGTGGATGAAGAGTAGTTGTCTTGGTTTACAAATGCCTCCAGAGGCCAGGCAAGGATCAGGTTCTTTCAGTGCTCTTATCCACAGGAATTTGTTGTGTGTGCCATAGGCACTTTCTGTTCTGCCAGACCACTTTATGTTATGGTTGACAACTCTCATTAAGATACAAGATTTTCAGTTCAGTTCTGTTGCTCTTTCTTGTCAGCAGACATGATGCATTCATGAGCAATAGTGATGTAATCCACTGCTGTATTTTTTGGTTGTTGTTGCTAATATGCGTGTTTTTGACATGGGTAGTGCCCAGGCCTGCATTTGTTGCTGATCTCTACTGAAGAGCTGAATGACCAATTCATTACCACATTTAAATAGTTAGATGAGAAATGAGATATTTTTATTCAAGGAAACAAATGAGAAAAAAACCTGCCTTTCCCCCCCCCCTTCCCTACCCACCCTCCCCTCTCTATTAATTTTAATTATTATTTAATTCAGGATGTGATCCTGTGAAACTCCAGGGGTTTGTGTTAAAAGTGTCCTGGTCCCATGGGCTTCACTATGAATCTCCTTTTATGTGGATACACCTTTGGCTCTAGATGGGAAAAAATAGTTTCCCTTAAATTCCAACTCTGTATTCAATTTGGTGCCCTAAAGTTAGAGAAGTTGCATTGTTAGATTTTCTGTAGGCATAGCAGGATCAAACTTAACCCTTTAGAATTATAATAATATATAAGACTTTGTACTTCAGTAAGCCAAGTTTCCAAAACTGCTGAGAATCTGTGGCTCCCATTGTCTTCAATTACAGTAAAACACTTTTGAAAATAAAAAGTGGTATGCAAATAAGCAAAGATGAACGTTGCCACCCATCCTTCTGGCACCAGTGTCATAATTACTCCTATGAAATGACTGATATGCAAGCAGAATGCCTAAGGGGGAATCAGTCAAGATTTTTGTCAAGCTAATCATAGCACTTAGGGTAGATTGTCAGCATTTTTTAAATGTCACAATTTGCGAATGTTTCGTTCTGCTTTACATTCCTCTAAGAGATCAGCAAAGTTTTTATGACTTTGGGAGTACAGACTGAGACATTTGCATGGATATTAAACATTGTTTACAGTTCTGTGTAGATATTTATATGTATTTTTTTTCATAAATCATTTAGAGTGCCACTTTCAAATACCTGCATTTGTTATCAAGTCTTTAAATTATTCTATTTACTTTATTATTTCACTGCTTGTATAAAAAACCCGATCAAATGATAACATGTGCAATACTTTTGCTGTCTTGCTGTTGTTCAAAAGTAACTGTCTGTAGACTGTGTGTTGTAATGTGGAGAGAATATTACTATAAAAAATCAATTTTTCAAATAGAGATGCTAAGATCATCCCTCAGCATCAAGTATTTCAAATACAAGCAGGCACTACATAAAAGAAGTGAAACTTGTAGCACAGCTTTAAAAATCAAAGAGTTAGACAAGTTTCCATCTGCAAACTGGAAAGTGGTGAACTTGCAAGGGTACTTTTATGTCTCAATTTCAGAGATGCTGAATTTTGAATGAAGTCTTGAATGAATTTTTTGAAAGAATTATCTCTGTCTTTAATCATTATTTCCTCTTCTACCTAATCTTAACCACAGACAAAGATGGGAACTTAATTATATGGGTTTTTTTCCTTTGTGTTCCTTTCTCTGTCCTACAGTCATTGAGCTGGGAGATGTCGACTTGAACTGTCCTTCCAACTGTCAAATACATAATACCCATTTCTTCGGAACTGACAGACAGATAATAAGGAGAGGGCAAGCCTTCAGTTTTTATGCCCATTTCCAAAATCGGGAATGGGATGACTCCGTGGACCAGGCTGTTTTCACCGTGGAGACAGGTAGTCATTCTCAAGCACTCTTTCATAGTTCTTTGCTGGTTTGTAATATTTCCTATAATCTTCAGTGACAACTATTATCTACTCATTCATCTTCCATGTGAAGAGATTGCCTTCCCCTAAACCAGGCAGTTCTTCTAATATGTAAAGTTTTCTCACTCTGCTACAGAAGTGACAAGTGAAAAAGAAATCCACCCTTGGGAGCTTCGCCTTGCAAATGATGGCTAAGCAAATTACTAGCCTTTTACATGTGCTTTGTTTAGTCTGATGGAAGTTGTTTTTATTTTCCTGAAAAGGCCTCAGACCCTGTGAATCAAATGAGACGAAATGTACCTTCCCCATGGGCAGATGTCTAGATCAAACCTGCTGGAGTGCTTCCTACAAAATTCATCAGCCAAAATGCATCAGTATCAGCGTGTTTCCTCCCTCCAGTGTCTGCATTGGCCGTTATATTCTCAATATGCAAATCACATCTTGTGGTCACACATATCAGCGTTGTCTTGGAGATTTTTATGTCCTTTTTAACCCTTGGTGTGCAGGTAAGGACTCTAGTGATTATCAGATAGTTTTAAGAAAATTGCTAGTGATGAGTAAAAATGTTGAATACATTTATTATTTAGCTGGTAAGTAAAGGATGGAGTCACAGAAATGAAGAGAAACAAGGAGGGATTTTGTTTTGTTACTTTTAATTTTTTCCTCCTTGTTCAAGACTGTCTCAGGCCAGTGTTTTGATTTGTGTTTTTAATGGTGGTAGGGGCGAGGGGGAATGTTTTCCTGCAATTTTTACAATCTTGACAGGATAGAAAGCACTGGGGACTAACTGAAATACAGGACGTTTTCTCTGGTTATCAGGAAACACATTTTTACTGTGAGAGTGACTGAGCAGTGGGACTGATTGGCCAGAGACGTTGTGGAGTCTCCATCCTTGGAGATATTTAAAAGCTGTTTTCCTGGGAAACTGGTGGGAGGTTGGGCCAGATGACCTCCAGAGGTCCCTTCCAACCTCAACTATTTTGTAATTCTGTGAATTCTCTGTTATCGCTGTGAAATAACATAACACAAATACATATTAAGTTCTGTAGGTCTGGCTCTGGTAGCAAGAAATTCTGGACCCTATAGGACCTTGCCAAAATCATTACATGACAAATATTCACATTGCCTTTGCTGATTTGATCAAAATGAGATACACAACTCTACCTGTTCAGTGTTTAACTTGTAGAATAGCTTAGTGTGAAGATAAATTGCAGGCTCTTCTATTAAGATGTACTACAGCAGGGAGAGACTGCCTAAGGGTAGTATCTAGCTGTAAGTAGGAATGAATTATCTGTGAACTTTTAAATAGCTCTCAACCTTGTACATGCTTAAAAGTAAAAATCAAAAATTGATAGGAATAGAAAGAGGGATCCAGTGAAGCAGAAGATACAGAAGTGCTAGAAACGTATATTTTGTCTGATTTGTAGCTCTGCATTTTTTCCAGATGACCCTGTATATATGGACAATCAGGCCCATAGAGAAGAATATGTTTTGAATGAGCATGGAATACTGTATGAAGGAGTTCACAAGCATATTACTTCTCGACCATGGCACTTTGGACAGGTACTTTTTGAGGACTTCTTCAGAAATAGATGTCATCCATGTACTGATAAGTGAAGCATTATCTATATTTTTTCAGAAATGTATGCTTTATTTGTAGTGAAAAGGTTTTTAGGATCAGTCCAGCCTATGCATACACAAAAGAAAATGTCTGAGAACCTCACTGCAGCCCTGGAAAACTGGAAGGAAGTTTTCCATAGTAAAATTAAAGAAAATGCACAATGTTCTGGGAATAGGTGAAACAAATATTGTGCTTTTGATGGAAAATTATTCAAGTGGCCAAATATAAGTAAAATGACATGGTTTTCCCTTTGGTTTTCCTTTAGGCAGGTAGACAAAACCATTCAGACCACTAGGAGCTGTGCTTGATTTAAAAAAAAAACCAGAAAATAAAGAAAAGGGCAGAAGGCAAGAGATAACAGTTCATATAAGTTAAAAAGACTGGATTATTGACAAGAAAAATAATTTATCAATGCTAGAATACCACGGTGCCTATGTTAACCTCTCTTTCCTCAGTTCGAAGATGGGATACTGGATATCTGCTTGAAGATCTTAGATATGGGTGCAAGTTACCACCACGGCTCTGATCGTGACCACTGTTGGCGCAATGATCCTGTGCATGTCAGCATGGTGGTAAATCACATGGTAAGGCCTCTAGTGGTGTGAGACCTCTGAATAGACCAGGTCATGCTTCATTATATTATGGAAGGACAAACTGCACTGTAATCTAAAACACTGTGGTAAGGTAAAATCCTATCTGTGCTCAGATTCACAGGGAAAATAAACTTGTAACACTAATCTATGTTGATTTTGAGGCATGTTTAGAATGTGAAGATGTGGTCAGCTATTTGAAAAGGTTGTTTTTCTTTTATCTTTCTAGATAAGCAGCCATACCACTAACAGTATCATGAAGATTCCAGAAAACAATGATTACCTGAAAGGAACAAAGCCTTTTTCCTGGAATGGAAGTGTTCCTATTCTTCAGCAGTGGTACAATGGCAGATGCAGGCCAGTCAGATATGGGTACTGTGGGTCTCTTGCTTCAGTAATGTGCACAGGTATGATATTTCAGTCTGCCTTTACCTAGCTTAATCAAAAAAGAGTAGGGAAAATGAGGATCAAAAATGTCTGATGCTAAAAACTATTTGAAGAATATTACTTCTAAGCATTTTACTGGAAAATAAATTGAGTATTTTTCTCATGCTCCTAATATAGTATTTATTATAAACCTATTACTTTCCTATACAGGCTGAAGAGCAAGAAAAGCAGTTCTGTCTTTTCTATGACCTTCATACTATGCAGTTATCAGTACTGCAACTTTTATTAAAACACAAAGCAAATGCAGCATCTTGAATCATAGAATAGTTGGAGTTGAAAGGGACCTAAAAGTTCTCTAGCAATGTCTCCTCCAAAACACAAAAGCATCAGGCTATTTTCTCCTTTTACTGCAAAAAGTAATAGTGGACTAAACACTACAGGCAAAAGTTCTAAAAAGAATTCTAAAATTATACTATTTATTTACTGAACTAGCTTGTACATTGAAAACAGATAATTTGAAATCCCATAGATTTGTACTACATTGCTTGTAAGAAAAAAATAGTGTTTCATTAATGTGGAACCACGTTAATGATTTCTGAATTGAAAGCAGATCTGGTTTTGGTTTTGTTTGGGCTTATTTTTTTATTACTTTTTTTTTTTTTTTTTGGTTGGTTGGTTGGTTTTTGTTTGTGGTTTGGTTGGGTTTTTTTTGTGTTGTTTTTTTTTTTTTAAGTTAGAAGAGTAACAAGCTATTCCTTTCTGCTAAGCCTTTTTCAGACCACTTTGCAAAAACTAAAAACAAGTTTTGAAGACAAAATCACTGCATCTCAAATACTGCCTCCAATCCATTCTGTTTCTATAATTGCAAAGTAGGACATACAATAATTATTTATAGAATGAGTGAAGGATTTGCCTGATTAATTGTGATTTATAATTACTCATTCATATTTTTTTCTTTCAGTGATGAGGTGTTTGGGAATTCCAAGCCGTGTTGTAACAAACTTCTGTTTTCCATGCTCAATTGAGAATCCCCTTGGTATCAATGAGATTTTTGACTGTACTGGCAAAAACTTGTGTGGCAAAGACAAGCTATGGTAAATAAGAAAAACATAAAGCTCTTTTGCTCTTTTAAAAAATTTAATGGTAGAAAAACTGGTATAAATCTAGCAGATCAATGTAGCTCTTTGGTTTCTTTCTTTCTCTGGTGTGGTAAGGCTGTTCGCTTTTTTAATAATTCATTTCAAAAACATGAAATTACTAAAGAGACACTCTGGTTAATGTATATTTTCAGAAAAAAAAAAAAAGAAAAGCTTATTGTGAGAATCCAGTCTGACTGTTTATCCTCAGGTGAAAAATAAGACCATCAAACTTAGTAACTGTAAAAGTATGAAATAGATAATGAGAATTTTTTTGTGTCCAAATCTCATCTGTAAGACCTTTCAGTGAATTTTCTGCCATATCACTTGCCAAAAAGATAAGGTCAAAATGAAATACTAGGGGAATGAGGATCTGATTTTAGCATAAAATACTTGGGGTTTATACTTTCTTAAGCCCTTAAAAATATGACTAAATATATGATTTTCTTCTAAAGAATCAGGAGGAAAGTATTAGGAAAAGAAACTACTTAAACAAAAGAACTACCTTGGCATGTTATCAACTAAAAGACACATATTTTACAATCAGGTCTGCGGTGTTATGGAGTAAATCTCTAGTCTGAGCAAACAAAACCACTCCTGTCCTCATTGTTAAGAGCGTTAAGACATAGAAAGAATTCTGAGGATTAAAATATTATCTCTGGTGTGGTTCTTCTCCATTGTAAGGAATTACACTTTATAATCCAAGTCTTTACTTCTATATTCCTATTCCTTCATCCTGTAGGCGATACCATTGCTGGAATGAATCTTGGATGGCTCGCAGAGACATAAATCAATGCTGTGGTGATTGGCAGTGTCTAGATCCAACACCTTTGGAAACTGGCAGAGGTAACTGTTTACTATAATTGTAATAATTTTCCTTGTGTTATGTTGTTTTCTCTACTTAGGTTACAATGTGTTATAACATTTTTGTTCTATGGCCTAGGTTCAGCTTGCAGTGGTCCGACATGGGTTCGAAGCATCAGGGAAGGGGAACTGGACTTGGATTATGATGGTCATCATATGTTTTCTCGAGTAAATTCAAACTATGTTGGCTGGCTTTCCCAAAACAATGGCAAAAGAACAAAATTTTTCTGTGACACTTGGCCATGTGGACAACGTCTAATCACCAAGAGTATTGGCAGTGAGCAATTTGAAGATATCACCGGAGCTTACAAGTATGAACTAGGTATGACTAAAGCATATTAAATGGGCTAGAGGAAATTTTATATGCTAATCATAGAAAAGTATCAATGTAGTCTCTGCTGTGTTAAAATGTGTAGAACAATCTGAAATTGTCTTTTTTTTTTTTTTATTTGAGAAGGAGGAAGGTTCTTTTCTGTTCAAAGACCTTGATTCTTAAACTTCTAAATATGTTTAGGTGATTCAAACAAAGCACATAGTAATTAGATGCATTTAGGATAGAATAGGATATTTCAGTTGGAAGGACCTACAATGATCATCTCATCCAACTGCCTCACACTTCAGGACTGACTAAAAGTTAAAACATACTATTAAGGGCATTGTCCAAATGCCTTTTTTTTTAAGGTGCTGACAACCAAAGGACACAATCCATCCCTCTAGGAAACCTGTTTTAGTGTTTGACCAACCTCTCAATAAAGAAATGCTCCCTAATGTAGTCTAAATGTAGTGTAGTCTAAATGTAGTGTAGTCTAAACCTTTCTTGGCATGGCTTTGAACCATTCCTATACTTCCTGTCCCTGGACACCGGGATAAAGAGCTCAACACCTCCCTTTCCACTTCTCCTTATCAGGAAGCTGCAGAGAACGAGATCACCTCTCAGCCCCCTTTTCTCTAAACCAGACAAACCCAAAGTCCTTAACTGCTCTAAGGACATGCCTTCCAGCCCTTAGAATAACATCATTAGTATGTACATATTTTCATCTCATCTGTACAGTAGTTTAAAATATTAACAGACTTGAGAGAATCTAAAAAAACCACAAATTCTTCTAAACCTAGGATTAATGTCTTACTTGTTGCTTCTTGTACAGGGTCTGTCAGAAAATATACCTACTTACTAAATTCATGTATTATTAAAATATTCTGCTATTCTTACTTTGGGCTATAGATTACTGATTTTTATATTCCAGTAGAAGGGAGGATTTCAACCAGTAAAATTGCCTAGAGGAATGAAAGGTGGATCACAGCTGATTGTACAATTGCAAGCTCTGTGGGGTGGTTCTTTTTTTTTCTTTGTTTTTGATTAGTTGTTGGAGTGTGTGTGTGTGTGTGTGCGTGTGTGTATTTTTTGTTTGTTTGCATGTTTTTAGTTTGTTTTATTTTTAATAAGATCAAAAAAAAGGAAAAACTGATAGTTTTTTGTTTGTTTGTTTGTTTGTTTGTTTTAATGGTGTATTTTGCCTTTTTGAGAGACCTGGTAGCATTCCATATTCACCCTTTTCCTTATAAAGAGTTATATTTTTACTTTTGCTAATGATACATTTTGAGATTTACGTGACCATCTTTATATTTAACTACTTAAAAGTAAAAGAATTTTTAAAATTTTTTTTCATGAGACATTTATTTTCTTCTGTGCATTCAGACTGCTGTATCTCATGTTTCATTATCTGGTGGATTTGTGCTAGACCAACTGGGTACTTTAGGTTCCAAGAAGAAGAAGCAATAAATTTAATTATCTTTATTATTTGAGTAGAATAATAACAGGCTTCTTATACCTCCAGCAGATGCGTTATCATGCCTTCTTCAACAGGTTCTGTGAAAAACAAAGAAGCCTATTACCGGGCCTACAGAAGAATTCACCCAGGGTACTGCAATGCTTCCAACTGCCATATTGACAGAGAGTTATCATCTCTGAAAAACCCATTTTTGAGTGACTCTGGTATCAACATGAGGTTAAAAATGGCTAACTGCCCAATGTATGGTGAAGATGTCCAACTGCACTGGCTGCTTGAAAATCTGCGTAATGAAAACAAAACCCTGAAGTTTAATTTGTGCGCACAAATTATAACCTACAGTGGCTGCCCAATGGATCAGTTTTGGAAAGACAGTGTGAATGTCACACTGGGTCCAAGAGAAGGTAAGAAGGTGAAATTGTCTAAAACTCTGTTCTTTTCAGGAGATTGCTGTTTTTTAGGATTTGTGGAGACTTCCTAATAGAGGTGGGAAGTGAAGCGTATACAGTGTTAAATACTGACAGCTGAATTCCCTTTAGGGTGATCACTCAAAAATCAACACAATGTCAATACTACATGTATAGTGACAGGTAAACTGTAGTCTTTCCTTAACTTCTCAAAGCTTATAGATTCTTTAAAAAATTGTTTCTAATAAAATTTAAATTCTGGTCTCTCTACTCAATACAAAGATTAAGTTGCAGTTGTCTATCAGAAAAGCATTGTTTTCTTTGGCCAGAAGATATTAGCCAGTGTAAAAGACTTGCTTAGAGCACCTAGACATACCATATGTTGGGAAGTGCAAAGGTGTAGCAGAACATAAACACCTGTTTCCATGGTTAACATATTTATTTCTGGAAGAAAAAGACACTTTTACTTAAACCACATCATTATAAGACAAAATTTCATATTGCTATTAAAATACTAAGCTTTAATTTGCCTACATTTGAATTATTCCTTGAAGACTGAACTGGAATGAAAGTTTCCAAATTCTGAGTAGTAATAATAATAATAATAATAATAATAATAATATAACTAATCTCCTTGTGAATACACTGATATATTAATTGGAAATAGTGAAACTTATTGTTGAAGATGGCAATGTTCCCTAAGTCAGGAAAAATCTTATCTGTTTTAAAAGATGCTGTGATATACCTTGATATTTATTTAAACTATTATAACTTTCAGTTAAACTTTGGGAGGAAGGAAAGTGGAAAAAATAATAATTCAGAAAAAAAATTAATTTGTTTTACAGTGAAAAAAATTCCACTGTGTATATCATATAATCAATACGGACCTTACCTGTGTGATCACAACATTATGAAAGTAGTTGCTGTCTCAGACCCAGAGTGTGGAGAAGTTCTGATGGTGAGCAGGGATATCGTGATCAACAGACCACCTGTTATTGTAAAGGTAAAGAACTTTCACTTTTTTTTTTTTTTTACTATAAGTTTTAATTTAGGAAGATTGGTGTGATTCTTAAAGTATAACACTTGACTTAAATTATAGAGATCACAGAAGTAAATAAGAAAGAAACATGTATGAATAGTACTTTTTTATTATTTTGTTCCTTACATTTATTTACTTCATTGCTAATTTTGTAAGGATTACAAAACATAAAATGTGTTTATTTTCTGACTAGCTACTGAGCCAGCCCAGACTGAAGGTACCATGTACTGCAGAGATCTCCTTCTGCAATCCTCTCCAGGAAGATATGAAGAACTGTGTCATGACATTAGAAGGCTGTGGTTTATTCAAAGAGCCAATGACCATTGAGTAAGTTCATCAGTTATTTAAACGTGGATAATATTGAGGGGTGACTAAGGTGTGCAAGATCAGAGCAGGTTTTGAAGAAAATATTAGTTCTGATTTTCTGGTGTTTAGCACCTGAACAGGACTTTTTGTCCCTTATTAGTCTGAGACTCCATTAAAAACCTCACTCCTCTTGAAACTGATGGATCATTTAAAGCTGGCAGATACACTGCTGCTTCATTTTTCTCAAGATTTAATTTAAGTAGATGTATCAAATTCCTTTCTGGAAGGGAATTCACTCTTGTCTTTACGAGAAGTGCTAACTGAGTCCCTTACAATCCTATTGGCTTTTAATAAAATTCCTCTAAATATTCATGAACTGGCACCACATATAGGAACAATTAGAGAATGACAGTGAGAAACAGCAATATGCATTCTAAAGTCATAAGATGTTAATCACAGGAAACTGGAAACTTCCAGTTAGTTTTCCTAGGAAAAGTAGCTGTTCATTAATATGCATTACTGCGCTTCATGACAAGGAGAACTGACAAAAGCATGACTAGTTTTGAGGGGAAGCAATTAGGAATTGTTCTCACTGAATAATAATGAACTCAATTCCACAAACCTGCCTGATCAAACTTAGACTGCTGGAAATGGGAATCAGTATACACATCTTTGAGGCAGAAGGGTACTAACATTTTTTAAGAATTCAAGAGAATATCACAAATTATTTTCCAGTTCCAATTACAGAACTGACTACAAGAGTATTCTAAATTTTCTCTTGGGACAGAAGTTTTTACCATGCTTTTCAAAACAAAGAATGTGGGTTTTTTTGGAGTAAGTAATGAATAAAAAGTTGTCAAAACACTTTGTTTCTAAGAATGTTGTAGCAAATCAAACCCAATTTTTTTGCTCATCTTGTAGTACTTCGGGTCTCTGAGCTACCTAGGGTCCTAATTCTTTTCCTTCTCTCGCTCCAGTTTAGGAACACTGGCATCCAACCAGCAGGCACGGACCATTGTGGAGTTCACACCTTATAGGCTTGGCAGCCACCGGCTCCTGGCCAACTTTGGATGCCATAAGTTTGCCTACTGCAAGGGATGTGCCAAGGCTGAAGTGTGCTGCTCTGCAGGCCAGAATGGTGTCCTGCCTGTCAGCCAGAATGGGTCACTCCCAGTGTGTGAGAATGGCTCTGTCCCCATGAACGGCTCTGGGCCTGTCCCTGTGGCCGACCCTGCGTTCAACTCCATGTGTGAATATATATGTATCCCAGTGTGCAACCCAAACTGCAGTGCAGGGGGCCAACCTGTGTACGACTTCGTGTACCTCCCTGCAGGCCATCCCTTATGCAACTCCATCTGCAACCAAGGATTCAATCCAAGTATCAGTTCTGGTTTTGAGATGGGATGTGATCCTGGCTTCCGTGTCATATGCGAGACAGTGCCTCCTGCTACGTGTACTCCGATGCCTCCATCCATGTATGGCTCCATGCCTGCCCCAACATCCAACCCTGTGTGCACTCCTGTGCCTCATGTGGTGTTTGAGACAGGTTCTGCTCCCACACAGTTGCCTGGAGCTGGAGGGGGGCCGATGTCCTATTCTGTCTCTGTCCCCGCGAACAATGCGGTGAGTGCATTGCTGACCCACTTCATGGCTGGCCCCAGTCCCACTGTGGTAACCCAGGCAGTCCCTACCCATATGTCTGCTCCACCATCCTACTCTATGTGCTCTCCTGTAGTCCACACCATTGGCAGTCCCATGCCATCTGCAGCTCCCCTTTCAGTGCCTGGTGCCTCCATATCACACGTCGTCTGTGGCTCTGCACCCTCTCCCACCACCCAGCCTCCATGTGGTCCAATGACCACCCTGACCTCTCAACCCCTGAGTGCCCCAGTAGCCCACCAGGTATGCTCCCCAAGCCCCTGCCCAGCGGCTTCCCCAGTGTCCCACACTGCTGACCGTAGCATCACCCCAGCAGGGCTGCAGATGAGGAGCTCCCCAGCCCCCCGTCCTGTGGGACCCCCAGCAGCCCACTCACTGTGCTCTCCGACCTCCCGCCCAGTAGGGCCCCCTGCAGCCCACTCACTGTGCTCCCCCACTTCTGCCTCTCTGGGGGCTGTGGGGTCCCGCCCTGCCAGCTCTCCTGCAGCTCAAGCCTTGGAGTCATCGTCTGCAGCCTGCCTCCCGTGCCCCCCATCCCCACGCCCCCTTTCAGCTGTCGCAGCCCAGTCCCTCTGTGCCCCTACCTCTCGTTCCATCTCCCGGTTTGTGGGCACACAGGGGTCTCGCTCGCTGTGTGGTTCTCAGTGGGGCCCCTCCTGTGATACCACCACTCGCTCAGGGTCCCAATCCATGTGGGGTCTCACCTCCAGATCATTGTGGAGCCCCGAGGGGCGCTCAGGCTATTCCTCATCCCGCACCGCCTACGGCACCCTCACACGCCCTCCATACAGCTCTTTGTCCCGCTCCTCCTACAACACCTTGTCCCGCTCTGCCTATACCACCCTACCCCGCTCCACCTCTCCCTCTCCTTATGCCACCCTGACCCGCTCTGGGTCATGCCCGTCTGGTAGCACCCTGGCGCTGGCAGGGTCCCGCAGGCCCTGGAGCCCCGGGAGGAGCACTCTCACCTATTTCAAACGCAAATACCTGTAATGGAGAGTAATCTGGGAAAACGCAAAGCCAGTGAGTTAAAGCAGTTGTGCAGACACTTTGAAAGAGGTTAGAAATAGGGTGATGGAGAGCAGTGCGCATAGTCCTGAGCATTTATTTAAGGATTTGAGATGTGCCAGAAAACGGGCTCCAAGACAACTGCTGAGGGATGCATTCATGTAATACTTGCATGTCTTGAGATATGGTAGGTGGAAGTGACAAATGAACGTGCTCCCCGTGGAGCCGTCATGACAATAGCTGCACAGTGCAGGTAATCAGACTTCCTTGCTCAGTCAAACTGTTTTATAGATGATGTGCTTTCACTCTCTCTTCTCTTGATTTCTTGCAATGTGTATTTCTCAGATCCTCCTAAGCTACAGCACTCGTAGCAAATCTCTCTCCCTGCATGAAATGTACTGTCCTTGGGATGTTTCAAAGAGGTGGCAGCAGACGTACCTTAAGTCCTGCCTAATAGACACTGTGTCCCTGAGTCCCAGTGTTGTAGCTCAGATCAGTTCTGGCTGCACTCATATTTCCCTGTTTGTGAGGCAATGAAAACTGTGGAGGTTGGGGAGTAACTAAATCATTACAAATAAACTGAAGAGTTCAATTGCTTCTTTTTTCCTTTTTTCCTTTTTTTTTCTTTCTTTTTTTCTTTTCTTTTTTTTTTTTTTTTTTTTTTTTTTTTTTTTTTTTTTTTTTTTTTTTTTTTTTTTTTTTTTTTTTTTAAATAAGTTTAGTATTACTACTCTTGATGTGTTACAGTTCCAATATCAGGAATCCAAAAAACTGATTGAATAATTAATACCAATTTATTGGATTCCACAACTGAATGTTTTTCATGTGTTTCATATTCCAAAAAATTTCTCATATACATTGTATACATTTAGGTTTATGGGAAAAGCTTTAATTCCACAGCTGTGCCTTTTTGATTCAATACAGCTGGGAAACTTCTGTCACTAGACCTGAATTAGAGAAGGACAGATAACTATCCTTTGTTTCCAACACCCAGGCCTCCCTACTGAAAGGTTAAGTTAGTGAATGGAAATGTATCTTCTTCAGATGACTGGTACTGTTTTAATGCTAACCTTCTCCAGGTGTTTTAGGAGTTGAAATTATATATTCTCATAATGAAACTGTTCCTTAATTTTGGATTTGCTCACAAGAATTTTGGATTTACTGACATTTCCCATCACTCCCTTATTTTTCTTTAGTATTCCATTATTTCTACTAGCAGGTGTTCATGGGGTTTTGTGGTAAGATAATTTTGCTGGTGCTGCAGAATCTTCAGTTATGTAGCAATAGTATTTCAGTAGTATCACTGTAGTTCGTGCCCCTATGTGATGAGACTGAGTAACCTTTTGAGGATATTGAAAAAGTGTGGTGACAGATTGTAGCTATGAACATACCAACACTATCAACTGCATAGTAATTCTGAGCATGGTAGAAGAAATATTTGCCTGAATATTATAGTAGAGTTGTCATAATTCAATGACTTGAGTTTTTTTACACAGTTTCTACAGTCTCTGTTAGGTATGTGCTGAGAATTTCTTTGCCTTACTGACAATAAAAATGGAAATTTAAAAAACACCTGTCTCTTTGCTATTTTGATTGTTTTTTTTTCAGTAATACCTCTTGAAAACTGAGGAATAAATCTCTCCAGCTGAACTAGTATGTGAAGTCTCCCCTCCACTCCATTTCTGTTAAATTTGCTCTTCTTTCCCTAAAGTCTTCAAAATAAATCTATAGATTTCCTACTATATCTGAAATACTCAGTTTGGTCTTCAAAGAAAAATGAAGCCATCTTCTTTGCTCACAATAAAGCTTACCACCTGTAGATGTTGCATGAGTTTTTCCTTTGCTTTCATGGTCTGTAAAGCTCTAAATCCACAGAAATGCCAAAATGAACAAACTTTGGGTGACAGAGGAAGAGATAGAAAAGATACCAACAGTATCTACTTCAGAAAAATATGGTTGGTGTTTGGGTTTTGTTTTTTGGGTTTTTTTTGAGAAAGCGTTAATAGTTTATGACAGCTACATAATTAACAAGTATAACTTCAAATTTCTTTTTCCAGTAGTAGCTTGACTTCTCCAATGTTCCTATTTTCTGAGAACAAGCTTAATTGCATATTTCAGAAACTGCAAATTTTTGGTCACTAGGAGTTGCTGACAATGTGTGCAAACTTCATTCCTGACTTCTTGCTGTATGTGTTGAATATGCATTACTTTTGAAAACTGTAGTAAGTTAACTAGAGCCATAGGGTCTGTCAGAAATCCTTCAAGATTATTGTACTAGAAAAAAAATTATATTGGGTGTGTTGTTGTCACATACAGCCTAAGAATAACAAAAGTTAGCTTGAAGACTCCTAGCAAAATCCATATTCAGTCTTATATTCATTTGGGGGGATGGGGGGGTTGTCAACACATGGACACTTAAACAAAAAGAGACCCTAAACCAGTAACAACAAAAAGCTCATCAAACAAGAGAATTTAAATTATCTCCTTCTTAAATGTTTATGAATGAAAAGCTCTAGCCTATATCTTATAATGTAGCTCCCATGACAGG